TCTCTGTCTGTCTCTCTGTTTGTCTGTTACAAGTGTCAAACTGAAAGTGAATGCTGTGGCGAACTGAAAGCCAAGGCACACGGAGACATATGAGGGAAGCTTGAGCACGTTAGAGAGCGGATATATCTGATGCCTACCTGTGGTGTGCAATCGGTGTTCTCAGCATTCAAAATCATGACGGAAGTGGCGGAAAAAAAACAGTGAATGGATGGAACAGCTATCACAACGAGCACGAACAAGTAATACACAGTGCGAACAGTTGGCATGAGGGATGATGTACATGTTGAACATTTTATATACGTCAATGAAAGTGTACTCAAACCGCAAATGGGCCTCGCTAGCTGTCACAACCACGAAAAAAAACAAATACAAAAAACGAAGCTGATAAAAAGGGGCCCTAAACCACAAGTGGGTCGCGCTCGCTTATAGTTTTTCTTTCCTTTTGCAGAACACTAGCCAACAAGAGGACAAGAAAAAATTGAACACCAAAACAATAAGAACAAATGGTGCACTTTCCATTTTCTCTGTTGGTCACACTGAGCGAGAAAATGGACTGAAGAAACAACTGTGCATCGAGAAACGTTCCCCGAGCAGCACAAAAATGACAGCAGCTCGTCCTCATGAGCAGTAGGAAAGTGGCAGCACCTCGTCCGAAGAAACAACTGTCCTATTTTTCCTCTTTTTTCTTTTTTCCTCTTTTTTCTTTCTTTCATAGAAACTCTCCCAGAGCATCACGACAATGAAAACGGCTCGTCCTTATGAGAGCCCGGCTCCGCCATATCCATCCTAGGGAGTATCACTCCGGTTCCTATTCCACCGGCAATGGCGGCAAGAAAAAGACAAATTCAATACTTATTACAAAGACACATCACAATCTTGCTGTCAATCCATTTCGTACCAGTCAAAAAACATCATAATAAGACAAAAAGCAGGTTTTGCAAGTTCTCAAACTCTTCTTGCTAAACTCTCTCTCTCTCTCTCTCTCTCTCTCTCTCTCTCTCTCTCTCTCTCGAAAACAATCAGCAGTACGAAATTGTCAAGTTCCCATCACAGTACGCCTTCCATGTGGCAGGGGGGAAAATAATAACATGAAATTAAAATATAAAATGTAATAAATTAAATTCAATAAACACAATAAATAAATGAAATAGAATCTACGCTGTTCGTCCGGGCACCCGGACACCCAACTTGTGCCCAGATACATGCCCGGGTGCCTGGCCGGGCATGGATCGTGGGCAGGGTTCCAGGCAGCCCCAGTGCCAAAAAAAAAAAAAAAACTGGAAAAATTTCACGTTGTGTAGAATTGCGATACAAACGACTTTTGGCTGAGGGTCACATCAGAATTCCTCATGGAATCGAAGACAAAAAAGAAAACAACAGAATCAGACTAAGCCACCCCCTTTTAACCCCCTTTAGCCCCTTAAAAGGCCAATTTATACCCCCCTTCCTCCCCCTTGACAGCCAACACTCGAAAAAAGAAAGGAGCCCAGGTGTGAACCTCCCCACCCCCCAAAACAAAAAAAGGGGGCTGATCTTTGCCTGCACAGGGTACCCGATGCAGCCCATGCAGGTGACACCCGGGCGATTTGCCTGGGCTGCATGGCTGGGCGAGCCAAGTAGCCTAAAATAGAATAGTAATAACACAATAGGAATACCACTGTAACACTAATAGTATTGGGGCACAGGTCTTCCATCCTTCACTGGTCGACTTCTGTCGCTACCCATCCGCTGAGATTCAGCCTCACGAAAGGGAAAAAAAAAAAAAAAAAAAAAAAACAGCCCTGAGAATTTGAGAAACCAATCGATAAAGTTAAAAAGACAATATTAAACAGTATTATTAAACACTTATTACTACTAATTTAGTAATTTATTAGTATGGAAAAGAGATTGGTGAGAAAACATGTCAAAAACCTAGTCTATGTGGCTGAATGGTACACACAGTGTACACTACACAGATGAACTTCAAGCTGTTAGCAAACAGATAGTAACGAGTACTATAAAATTATAAATAGTATAAAATAGCAAAGGTTTTTTTTTGGTGATAAGTGTTGGCTCTTGGCTCTTGGCTCTTGGCTATTAGCTATTGGGTATTTCCAATAGAATGTTCCAAAAGAGTTGGAATAAAAAAAGAGCAATTTTGCACTTTGTCATGCAGTGATTTGAACAGCTGTGAAGATGTACATGACTACTGGATACTGGACTTTGGCTATTGGCTATAGGCTGTTGGCTATTGGCTATTCTTTATTCTACATACAATGTTCCAATGTTCATTATACAAACGCCTATGCCTGTTTGTCATTGCGTGATTTCACACCTGTACAGGCGTATTAGGTATTTGCGGCAATGTTCAGTCTTTCAGTCTAGATACAGCCTATGCCACGAGTTGTAAGTGTTCCAATATTTTCCATACCTGAACAGGAGTGCACATTACATCTGTCCATTAGCGTATAGGTATTTGGGGCAACATCTAGTCTAGATACAGCCTATGCCACCAATTGTAAGTCTTCCAGTATTCCATAACTGTACAGCAGTGCCCATTACATCATTAGCGTATAGGTATTTGACGCAATTTTCAGTCTAGATACAGCCTATGGCACCAAAATTGTAAGTGTTCTAGTATTCCATACCTGTACAGGAGTGCACATTGCATCATTATCTGCGAATAAGGCTGACTGAAAATTCTCCAAGAAACTTTGGATGACCGCATCTAACCTCCGCTTGCTCGACTCCTCTCCTCTCTGCAACCAAAAGACGAAATGAATTTCAAATAAAAATTATAAAATTGAAAACATGGAAAAGTTCAAGGGGAAAAAAGAACAGAACAGAACAGAACAGAACAGAACAGAACAGAACAGCACAGAACAGAAAAGAAAAGAAAAGAAAAGAACAGAACGGAAAAGAAAAGAAAAGAAAAGAAAAGAAAAGAAAAGAACAGAAAAGAAAAGAAAAGAAAAGAAAAGAAAAGACAGATGGGCCCTCCAACTTCAAAATCAGTTGTCTGAACTTCTCTCAGGTTTTCACAACAGAATAATTCATTAATCTTCGTATTTTACAAGGGGTGGCGAAATCCCACTTGTCCTGATTGAAATAATGAAAATAATTAACGGGTGGACGGAAACACAACCGCATAATTTTTCAACCTCCATCCAGGGAGAAATACTTCAAAAACTGACAAAAAGAGAATGTCGGAAAAAAAAAGAAGACAAACAAAAGTTGAACGTTGAACTAAACGTTCGAAGCTCGTGAAGTTCTGAGGAAAAGCTTGGCAAAAGAAAACGCATCGTGATTATTTTGAAAATGGCGCTCCAAGAGGCAAAAAAAAAAAAAAAAAAAAAAAACACCTACGAAAAAGTTACTGGAAACCTTAGAACTACCCAACTAGTAAAGAAAGAGCTTCTTTTACGATTTCTGAATCTCCGACATCAACCCCCCCCCCCCCCCCCCCCCCCCCCCCCCCCCCCCAAAAAAAAAAAAAAAAAAAAAAAAACTCGTAAAATGGATTACCCCCACCCTCACACACCTAGCTTCCTGGCAAATCAACTGTACAACAGACAAGTTCACAACTTCACCGCGAATGTCAGATACTATTATATTTCCTTTACGTCTGTTTTCCCTATGATTTCCTCTTTAAAAAAAATAAAGAAATCGCTAAATAGTAAATAGTAAAAAGTTACTAAAAACATAGTAAAAATCTAGTTAAAAGTTAGTACAAATCTGCAAACCATTCCCGGGGGCCAAGTCCAACCAGCAGAATTGAGTTTCCTCAACGCCTGAATCTGGTCGTCTTTGTGGAGATGTGCAGAAATGGCATTGAGTTTCCTCAACTGCACGTCTCCACAAACACCTCCAGATTCAGGCGTCGAGGAAAACACATGCTGCTAGTGGGACTTGGCCCCAGGAGGTAGGGTGTGTGGGTTTGACGCGATGACTTTGGGCCCTTTGGGGCAGAAGTAAAATAGGCGGCGAGGACAAAGATTCTCGTTTTGTCGCTTCTTTTGCGGCCTCCGCTTCGCGATGGCTGTGTCCTCGTTTTGTCTCTTCTTTTGCGGCGAGGACACAGCCACGTGCAATCCACGATACAAGTCCATACGCGATGAGTTTGGGCCCTTTGGGGCAGAAGTAAACAAGTTCATGCTTTCATCGACTGTGGACTTGTATCGAGGATTGCACGTGGCTGTGTCACAATCTTGGATTGCCCAAAAAAAAAAAAAAAAAAAAATCTTGGATTGTGTATGCGTCACGATCTTGGATCGTGGTGTACTTAAGCGCCGCCCACACATTAACGTAGGTCCATAAAACTCGAAAAGTAAATCTGATTGCAGTTCAAAAATTTAAAAATGAAAGACAAAAAGAAAAAAAAAAGAAAAGAAAAAAGAAGTAAATGCGACTGCATTTCAAGGCTTACACCACTGGCAAGTTTGTTTATTACTCTTCTTTTTCTTGCGTCCCGTTTTTCATGGCAGAATTTCAGCCAGAAAGGTGAAAAACAAACCTGTAATTATTTTAATTAAACTAATTAACTGCAATAAAAAGGAAGGAAAATGTGCCTGCCTACAGTATATACACAGTACTACCACTACTAGACATGTTTCCTTCTTTTCTTTCTTTTCTTTTTTCTTTTCTTTTCTTTTTTTTTTTCTTTTCTTTTTGGGACAACACACCTGGCTAGGAACTCCTCTGTTGCAAACTTGGAAGAGATCAGCCACTCTCATTATGAGGGGGTTCAGGTCTCCAGCTCCAATAGGATAAAGGTCCCTGCACCAATTTGAAACAAGCCACACAGGAAACACAGTTTAAGTTGTTTAACACACACACAAAAAAAAAAGAAAAAAAAAAAAGAAAGAAAAAAAAAAGGAAGAAGAAAAAGAAGAAAAAGAAGAAAAAAAAGAAGAAAAAAAAAGCTCTCTCAGCCTCACATCTTCAAGTACATGCAACTGTCAAGGACCGGCGCACCACCGGCATCTTTTTTTTTTCTGTTTTCTTTTTATAAAGGGCAACGGCCTCGAGGTATCATCATTGAAGTCGATCGAACTGACCGGCCATTTTTCACGGCACTAGATTTCTGTAATTTATGTTGCAAAAGAGTTACTACAGCGGCACAGCCTCATTCGATGCAACTTGACGTGACGTGCGGTCTTTCGGGGGTTCACAGATGTCACCCACGTGCCACGTGGGTGGATTTCATGTTAAAAAAAAAAACAGCAGAATTATTCCTTACCACAAACAAAAAAGAAAATAAAAGTATTCAGTCCCACAGTTCGACAAGATTTCCATCAGGTCCCCATGAGAGGACAAAAGAGGACAAGAAAATGCCCATAATCGGCACACATAGAGGGACAAAGGGAGTCGCTCCACTACTCACCAAAGGTGGAAAATGAGAATGGATCTTCCGCCAGAACATAGGAAGATACACGGCCGTATTTTTTGTCTTTTATGCGTGTGGAGAGTAGTGGGAGCGAGGCCCATAAAGTCATTCATTCCGTAGTTATCAATGTCCACATCAACATCCACATAAATATCGTCAAACAGAGCTTCCCGGTAAACCATAGGCAGAGAGGGAGAAGAGGACAACAAACAAGTGGCTGTATATATCTATATATCATCAAACAGAGCTGCCCCGTAAACCGTAGGCAGAGAGGGAGAGAGAAGAGGACAACAAACGAGTGGCTGTGACAAACTGTTTCGTCGGAGTTTCACCGACTCATCAATCAGTAGAGGCTGAACCCTCAAACAGTCTGCAGAATCCCCTAACTGACTGATTACACTGCAACTGATAATCCACCTTAACCCCGGCTGTGGTTAAGCATCAACGACTGCCCGACAAATATATATATATATATATCGTCAAATGGAAATATATATATATATATCGTCACAAACAGAACTGCCCGGTAAAACCGTAGGCAGAGAGAGAGAAGAGGACAACAAACGAGGGGCTGTGACAAACTGTTTCGTCGGAGTTTCAATATAATATAATGCTTAAAGGAAGAAGTGGTCCCCGCACAACGGTGCCTGTGGACCCCTGGGAAAATCGGCAGCAGTCAGTAGTTCCGCTGCCGGGAAGATTTTCCCAGTGACAACTGCGCTTTTGTTGTTTTGCGACGTTTTGGTCCCCGTTAGATGACCGTTCCTCTTGCTGGCCTTCTTTTGTCTTTTCCGGTCACTCCTTTTTTTTCACTCTTTTTTTTTTTCCAGTCACTCTTGGAAACGGATTTTCAAGAGTTTTTGTGTGGCCATACACCCTCTAGAAAGCATTGGACGAAAAAATCCTTCAAGAGGTGTCAGAACGGTGTTTCAAGAGTTCCACTTGGAATGCCAAAACCCCTTGAAAGTTGAAACGCCTGTGAGGCTCCAGATTTCAAGTGTGCTCGGACGGGGGCACTCAAAGCACCCTTGATTTTCAAGAGGTGTCAGGCACGCAAGTGACACAACTCGAAAAAAAAAGAGAGAGTTATGTTTGTCTTCTTTTATTTCATAACGGCATACTTCATGCATGAGAGTCCCTCTTTCTAGAGTGCTGTGTGGCCAAGGGCCAAAAACTCTTGAAAATATCTGACAGCTCTTGAACATTTCACTGTTTCGAGAGTGGTGTGGTGAGCCCCTGAGAATGAATCTCCCATCAGAACCTGGAAAGATACACCTGCCAGATTTTCGTTTTTTGGTACACGGCGAGGCCATCCGTCTGTTGTGGGGCCGTTTCCTTCTCAGCGCATTGGTTGGTGGTCCACACCACCTCAGAGGGGTATCAGTTATAGGGCAGTCTTTGATGCTTAACCACAGCCGGGGTGAAGGTGGATTATCACTTACAGTGTAATCAGTCAGTTAGGGGATTCTGCAGACTGTTGTTGACGGTTCAGAGCCTCCTGACGAGTGGGGTCGGTGAAACTCCGACAAAACAGTTTGTCACAAAACCCTCGTTTGTTGTCCTCTTCTCCCTCTCTGCCTACAGTTTACTGGGCAGCTCCGTTTGACTATATATATTGTCACATAACTATGAACTAAAAGAGCGCACTTTACGAAACAAACGGCAAAAAAAGAAAAAGAAAAAATCAAGACAAACATGAAGGGCACACTGAAACCATTCATTTTTCTCATTCTTCTCTGAACTCCCCCTTCACCGTGCCTCTCACGTACAAGGCTCGCCATGTTGATGAAGTTGACTGCGAGCTGCCCCATCCCCGTGTACCGTAACGGCCCACTTGTACGCTGTGAGAAAGAGGCAGAGCAAAGGTGGAGGGGATAAACACAGGGAGGAGAGAGGGAGAGCCGACAAACAAAGAACAATAAAGGGAAAGTACGGCGTGTGGAGTGAAGATGAAGGCAAGAGAGGTTAAGAAAATAGATTGGAGCCATCTATAATATGGCGCTTGCTATTGGAGGATGCTCGTATCACCTCCGATAGCAGGTTGCGACAGATGTTTGCTTTAAAAAAAAAAAAAAAAAGGCTCAAGAATGAGTATGTCCTTGACGACAGAGAGGACATACATCGTAAGAATGAGGTGGATGAACACATGGAGGACCTAGCTGAGCATTCTCAGTGCAACAATTGCCACGACGGCTGGCATTGAGCATGCCCACCATACACCCACGACAAATGGCATGTCGATTGCAGGCCAAAATGAAGGAAGAACGGTCACCACAAAAGACCATGCATTCAGTATAGCGCCCATGACCGCAAAATGGACATATAGTGTCCGGATGCGGAGGGTGCCTGCAGTCAGGAACGGAGGGACAGTACTCTGAACACATGGATGCAGAAACCATGTCATTGTAGTGATTCTGACAGAGACGATGGCGGCTACATGCAAGAGAGACAGACAGACAAACAAACAGACAGACGAGAGATTGAGAGACAGACAAGAGAGATGTAATGCCCTGCAAAATCCCAGACTGAAACATGTGATGTTTTCTGAGTTTTGCAGCTGGACTGAGTGACTTTGTGAGATTCCCGTATCATGCCGTGTTTTTTTTTTTTTTTTTTTTTTTTTTTTTTAACAGGTTTTTATGGTCCTGGGCCCCTGGCTCCTTTCCATTCTGGGGAGGGTCAGGCCGGTTCCTATTCCCCCGGCAAGTCAAAACGGAATACAACATGGTACACGCACATGCTTCCTTCCGTATGGCGGAAGGAACCCTGACCAGCATTGATTGCTCCCCTGGAGGAGGATTAACTGTCAGCTTGCCCTGCCCACTCGTTCCGTTCGGGCTCCACCCGGGGCCAGTCAGAATCAGTCAGATAGATCTATGTAAAACAAGAAAAGTGGGAGGGTCCTCTTCCAGTTGTGTTTCTGAGTCTTCCTCCTCTCTCGCTCGTCCGACTGTCTCTGCCGTTGCTGATCATAATATTGCCTCTTCCAGTTGTGTTTCTGAGTCTTCCTCCTCTCTCGCTGGGCCTGGTACCACCTCAAGCCATGGGTTCTTGGCTTGACATAAACTCATGGCTGGGCCTGGTACCACCTCTTCCATCTCATCCTGTTTGTTGTCTTTAAGAGTGGCGACGACCTTGCCCTTTAGTTGCCAGTCTCTCAGGCATGTGCGTCTCTTGCTTGCTTGTCTTTCTGGTCTGTGTTTCATAGAAGCCACTATCTTTCGCCATCTGCTCCGTATTTCAGTCTCCACCATACTCAGCAACAGGGACCACATTTCTGCCCATGCCATCTTTGCTCCCTCGATTGTCTGTGTGCATCTGCGTTTCCATATGACCCAGAGTGCCAGTTTCCTGAGAAGATTGAACCAGACTTCCCTGCTGCCCTTGATGTTGCTAGGGGTGTTAGCAAAGAGTAGGATAGTTAGAGGGGGGATGTAGGGGGTGGTGTTGCGAAGAGGATCGACCAAAGTTTGAAAACCTTGTTCCAGATCCAGGTCGCTTCCGGACTGAAGAGAAGGCAGTGGGGGATGTCTTCGGGTACGTCGTTGTTACACAGGGCGCCGAATGCTGAGCTATCTGGGTCTGAGTGTTTCCTTCTCTCGTGAACCCTTTGGTTGACAGGGAGGGCTGCTTGTGCTATGAGCCTCTGCATGCTACGGATTCTGATCGGTCTGATGAGAAGATATTTAGTCCATGGGATGGTGAGGGAAGTCGCGGAGTCTAAGTGAAGGATGTTTCTCCACTTCTCCATCAGCCTGGGGTTGGGGTCCGTGGTCTGCAGTCCGAGGTCATACCCAAACTTTACATCGTATTCCATTATCGTTCTTGACTTCCCGGTGGTGCCCTGCTCCCATAACCACTCCTTTGGATCGAATTCGAGCTCCTCAATACTTACCTTCTTCTCCCAAATACAACGTACGGTCATTATAGCTGTATTTGAGGCATCTTTCAGTCTAGATACAGCTATAATGACCGTACATTATATTCGGGGGAAGAAGGTACTTCAGGGTGGAAGATGATCCACAGCTTACTGTGGGAGACTCTGACCATCCTAAGCAAGAAGGTTTCTACCCGTTTGTTCTGTGGTGCATTGTTTTGAGCTTCAAGTTCGTACATACTGCGTTCGGTGATGGGGTAGGATGTGAAGTTGTCCTGGTAGATATGGGTTGGATCTGTTCTAGATACAAAGCGGTAGGCTCTTGTTGGAGGGGTCAGGGAGATGGGCAGGCCCCAATCTCCTGGTTTCCATGTGTATTTCTCTCTTAGGAAGGACGTTCCATAGGGGGGGGATGCTTTGGAGGACTTCCGGTACGTTGGTGCTCATGGAGTGACATCCTTTCAGGGAAGTCCGGAGTTCTTGGTCGGATAGTCAGTCCTGTCACCCCTCGGACCATAGATGTTTGACCTGCCATACTCCTCTCTCTACCCAGGATAGCCATCTGCGATCTTTAGCCCGGAGTTCTTGGTCGGATAGTCAGTCCTGTCACCGCTCGAACCATACTCCTCTCTCTACCCAGGTCCAGGGCTTGCCCTCTGTGTCTTTGATCCAGGGATTGCAGAACAGGGGCTGTCTGAGGACTTCCTCTCTGTTGCTCGGTGCCTCTCCCTTGTTTGGCGCCAATCGGCGCCAGGCCTTCAGAATCGGTGTCCAGTAGGTGTTGGGCGTGGGGTTGGGCTGAGTAGACAGTGCTTGCTGGGTTTTCCTCGCTGATCCCTCTGACTTGAGAGACCACTCTTTTGCCATAATCATTCTGCCGAGATTTCTAAGTACGTGTGTGTGCATGATTGTTGAGTTTCTGTGTGTTTGCCTGACAACATGATTGCTTGAGGGTGTGTGTGACCCACCAGGGTACTTGTGAGCTGGGAAGGCCTACGGGCCTGGTACTTACCTGTGGCCGTGTGTTGTCTGGGCGCAGCGGGAAATTAGAAGTAGGCTAGGCCCACGTAGGATTGAAAACACTCAAGTAGTGGGTAGGTAGGCAGAAGGAGGCAAAACTTTAGTGCCTTGAGAGGCCGAAGGAATTTTAGAGGTCCGGTAGGCTTGGAGTCTAGGGGTACCGTTCCCGTAGTTTGAGTCTGGGGCCTGCGGAGGGAAGTATCAGACTGCAATGATGTTCCCTCCAAAAGGAGGGACCGGTAGCTTGGGGAGACCGTGCGGCCTGGAAAGTCACCGGCCGCAGAGGCAGTAGTCCGGTACATCTAGGGAGAGAGCGAAGAGCTCTTCCTCATTTGCAGCATGAAAGTTTGGGCATCACGCTGGTGGAGCGAGCGCTCAGTTTGGTAGCGCTGGGGAGGAAGAATGTGGGCTTGGCACTCCACCTTGGCTATGGCGGAGAGGACCAAGGACAAGACTCTGGGGGAGTAGGAGGAAGAGGAAGGCAGTGAGCAAGAAGGAGAGTGACAGGGGAGCTTACCTGACTATGGTGGTCTGCATCTTCATCTTCTTGGTTGACGCTGCACCTTAAAGGCCCCGTTGGGGATTGGCACCTACGAGGAAGACTGGGGTAGTGCTAGGTTTGGCGGCCATAGTAGGAAGGACACATCAGTTTTGCGCGTCCTTTTGAACATCAGAGCTTCACTCAGATAGTCCGCCATAGCCACCTGCTCGACCAAGCAGGAGGAAGGTGTATGAGATGGCTATGGTGGGCCCTTTGAGTAGCTGGCAGTAAGTAGAGCATCCGGGCATTGGTTCTGGTTCATTCTTTCATTGCCATTATTATTACTATTATTAAGAAGAAGTTGGGGGAGTGATTGGAGGCTGGAGATGAAGGGGGGATCGACTTTGGTCTCTGCTTGCGTCCATCTTCTTGGTCTTCTTCTTCTTCCATTGTTATTTCTCCTTCTTCCTTTGTCTATTCCTTTTTCCAAGTTCTTTCTTTTCAGTTCCAACCTGGAAGTGAACTGCATTGTCTTTCTTTGAGTTGTTGCACTTCAAGATAGCCAGGGTCATAACACACACACACACACACACACACACACACACA